GCATCTGCAGCAGTCCTCCCAGATTCTGAACAGTTAGGTTCTCAGCAAAATGCTTTGCTTACCACTTCTGCTGTGGGAGTGTTCAAAGACTCCTACAGCTATCTTTTTAACCACTCAGTTATCACTGTCAACTCTGTCCCAGGCAGCAAGCAGTACCAGGCCATATATGACTGGAGGCTTATGCTTCATTGTGGTTCTGTTCAGTGAGATCCTGCAAATGAATCCTGACAAGTGATCTGACGGTTCTGCCCACCCTATGTGGTCTCTATATTTAAAAACTAATGGCATAGGACCAATAAAGGGACCTTCTTAAAATTCAAGGATTACATTCTAGCATTATAGATCTCCTAAGAAGCCGTAATAAGATCTTCCTCTGGTGGGTTTGAATAAGCAGGAGAGAAAGGAGACAAAAGTAGAAGAGAGGAAATATAATTACAGCTCACAAGTTGATTAAGGCCCAGCAGATCTTAATTCCTAAGACTATAGTAAGCGGAAAAAACAATTGCAACAAAAAACCAAAAACAAACAACAACAACAAAACCCCAGAGAAGTGCAAAAAACTGACTTACTACTAGTTTATGCAATAAATTAATGAAAAAATAGCCAGAGCTGGTGGTGCACACCTTTAATCCCAGCACTTAGGAGGCAGAGGCAGGCGGATCTCTGCATTCAAGGCCAGCCAGAGCAAAAACATAGTGAGATCCTGTCTCAAAAGCAAGTAAGAAACAGGGTCTGCCTATATAACCCAGGCTAGACTGGACTCAAATGATCATCCTTCCTAAATCTGAATAGCTGGGACTAAGACAGATATAGGAACCACTACAATGCTTATACAAATACATTCATTAAGTTTATATTTTAAAATATTCCTTCCCATGTTCTTTCTCCTATAAATGAGCATAGACACTGAGAATGGAGCCATTTGGCTCCCTTCATCAGAGCAAGTGTCTGTTTTATAACCAACAGAGCTACTCTCATGCCAGCACGGGCCATCTTGAACAGCCCATGGACAAAGTATGCAAAGATTGCAGCTGATTGCTCTGGTTCTTGGAGGCACACAGCAGGGCTGTTTGAAACAGCTGATATCAGATTTTTTGCTACCTCAAGCCTCAGTGAACTCTAGATGGTCCTGCAATCATCCCTACCAGACAGGGAGAAATTCCTCGGGGGTCTAGAGAAGAGCCCACTTGACTGGTGCTAAGAGACAAATCTGTGACTGGCCCAAAGTGATGGGTATGCTTTATTTAAAACAAGCACTTGTGGTTGGTCCAAACCGGCTGGACTGGAGGACACAGTCCTCGGGCTGCATAAGAAGGATGTTCAGGCTCACTCGGTTAGCTGAGTCAGAGCTACTGCGGTGTGGTAACTCCTCTCTGAAGTGGCCCTGACCTTCCAGAGGTGCAGGGTAAGATGGTGACACAGAGACAGAAGCAGTGGCTGCATGACGACCTCAGCAGCAGCAGCAGAGGCAGCAGCAGCAGCAGCAGCAGCAGCAGCAGCAGCAGCAGCAGGCACCCTGTGTCTACCTACGGTGGCAGAGGTGTAGCAGTCCAGGTGACTGAGTCACTGAAGGGGTTAATAGCCAGCTACGTGAGAGCCTGAGCAGCTGAGACGTTCAAGTTCAAGACACATCAGACAGAAGGAAGGCTGAGGGGGTAGAAAAAGAAAAGGCGGAGGGCCAAGAGCAAAGAAGAAAATGTTGTAAGGGCCAGAGAAGAGAAAGGGCAGGCCCTGGTCACCACAAGAGTTCCAGAGACCCGTGAAGCCTTCAGGGCCCAAGGTCTCACGCTGGGCCAAGAGCGGCCAAGGGCTGAGAAACTCAGCGTCCTAGACTTAGCAACACCACTACAGGGTAAGCTGAGGACTGAGCACTAGAGGGTGCCAGCTCCTGCCTGGGTACAGCCACCAGTCACTGCTGCCTAAGGCCAGGAAAGGAAAGCTGCACCACACCAGCCGCCTGCTCCCTGCCTGCTCACAATTCCTATCCGCGTCTGCACTCAGACGCACCTCAGCCCGCTGGCCGGTGACAGGACTAACAAACCACGGGTACAAATTATCCTGAACCTCTCAGCACTGTGAAGGTGCAAGGTGTGCGCCCTTCCATTCTGTTAGCATCTATCTGATTTTGAAATTACGTTGAGTCTACTTTGGATATTTGTAATTTGAAGCAAAAGCTAAATAATCCACTCCTGGGTGCCTATCCAGCAGGCCTCGGCAGAAAAGACTTTTTAAAAAGGCTCGAGGAGTGGAATTCACCGAAATAAGAGTGAGGGAGGAGGAAGTGTTAGCTTGGTAGCAAATGTCCACGAGTCGTGTTCAATCCTGATGGAATAATTCAAGGACATTTAGTAAATACACGTACGTACGTGGAAGCCGGTCCTAGGGGCCTCTGATGGCAAACCTCTGCCTCCCTTTGCTTTTACCGTCTTACCATGCATGAAAACAGGCCACTATTCCGGCTCTCCACAACTCAGGGGACTGAGGAAGCCAGACATTCAGGTAAATCATGAAAGAAGAGTTACCTTTACAAAAGCAAACAAAACCTGCCCCAGTGCGGGCCTCGCCAGACTGGGATAGGAGACGGGTTGCCCCGCGGTACCTGCCGAGCCATGCCTTCTCCTACTCTGGCTCCAACAACTTCTAAAAGCAATGCCCGCAGAAATGTTTGGTGAATCACACTTTCAAGTGCCCTTGCACAGGCGGTTCGCCAGACACCTGCTGTTTCACAATAACTCATTTTCGGGGCCCTTCTCACGAGCTTTGACGCGAGGCGTTATCTGCGTTCACACTTCATTAATGGGTCCCAAAGCCGAGAGCCCGGAGAAGGCACTGAGACAGGAGGGCGTTGCCTGGGCGGGTCGCGACAGCCACAAAAGGGCATAGCAACGAGAACGCCGGGGCCGGGGCCGCGCTGCGCAGGCGCAGGAACCCCACCGCACCCCCCGCGCGCCGGCGAAGGCCGGAAGGAGTCTGGGGCCTAGGGAGCGCGTGCGCGGTGGAGAAAGCGCCAGGGACTGGGCTTCAGGGCCGGGGCGCGGCGCACGCATGGCTTCCAATGCTTACTTAGTGCGCCAGCGGTTCAGCCGGCTGAGTCAGGTGCGGCCGGGGGAGGAGCCAGCCCTTCCTTCGAGCCGCCCCTCCGCCTCGCTTTCCC